GCTCTCTCAGGGCCCAACCTCTCGCCAGCAGAGGCGCTATTCTCAGCTCAGCACCAGTGTCCTGGGCAAGCACGGGGTGAGGTAAAAGAGAGAACATTGAGTCTCCCAATCCCCAGGGCAGCTGAAGACACCCACACATTGACGCCAGGCACCTCAGATTTGCCTACTGAGGCACAAGACATCCAGAGACCTCTGATCACTGGTCTCTTACTAAGATCTTGCCTGGTGTCCCTTGCCTTCTTTCAATCCCCATAGAACCCCACTTCTCTTTGTTTCCTGCAGACAGCCTTTCGCTCTCTGCCTGCCTGTGCCAGGGCTCAATAGAGTCCACTCCATGTTGCCTAAAAACAGGCTGGTGCCCTCTGCAGGTGTCTGCCTTAGGCCGTTCCTTACAGGTACAAGGTACCTCTTGAGTCACCTTTTTGTCTGTGAAAATGGGTATTTTGTCTTCACCTGCTATATAAGATTTTTGAGGGGAAAGTGAGTGAAAAAAAGAGACAGAGAGGCAGGAGAAAAAAAGAAATGGAAGAGGAAGAAAAAGGGAAGAAGAAGGAAGAGGAAGGTGAGGAGAAGGAAAGCACTTAGGAAATATGAAACTAAAAAAACACAAAAAGTAGTATACACATTTGTGGGATTTTGTTGGATTTTTGAGACGGCTGGTCTTGAACCCCTATGTACCAGTGCTGGCCGCGGTTTTGTTTTGCCAACAGATAAAAAGCAGATCACTCCACTCCACATTAATTTGGTAAAAGCCCTGAACAACTGAAACCACACAAACACAGATGCTCCTGACTGAGACATTTTCATTCAGTTTACTAGTATAAACCGGATTTGTCTTTAGAAAGACTATCCTTAATGAAAGCTGTGTTCAAACGCTGTCCCAAAGGGGCCCTCAGAGGTAATCACTGCATAAGTAGACTCTGGTTAAGGTGTTATCTCTTAGTTATTGTGACTGCCTTGCCATGGAGGGGATGGGACATGGAACCTTGGTCTTTCCCACTGCCACCCCACCTCACCAGTCACACTAGGGGAAAGTGAAGAAAGATGGACTTTGTTTTTATTGTTGTTGTTGTTTTTCATCTTATTTATTTATTCATTTATTTGGTACAGGGTCTCACTACACAGCTCAGACTCTTAGTGATCGTCCTGCCTCAGCCTCCCCAGTGCTGGGTTTATACACGTGTACCACCATGCCTGGTTTCAGTGGATGGCTCGGCACAGGGTTGGCACAGCATGCTGTACTGGGGATCAAACCTGGGTCCTCGCGCTTGCAGGGCAGATGATTAGACTGCCAAACTATCTCCCTGGAAAGATAGACTTTGGACTTGGAGAAGAGCCCTTTCTCTTTGTGAATGACTGACAGGAGTAGAAAGCTGGGCCGTTGAGGGAAACAGCGGGAGCTATGCAATGTGTAGAACATCAGGTGCCAGGTCGGAGGAAATGGTCTGTAAGTACTTCTGCTCAGAGGCCTGGGTGATGGGCTCTGCTTAGCTCTCTCTAGCCCAGAATTGCCCACACTTACTCCAAATAGAACCTCTTCCTTGGACAACACTCGTTCATGACCACAGATTGCCTTTCTGAAGAGTACATGGGAAGTGTTGTTGGCCAGATATCTTCCTAGCGTGCATGGAGGGATTGAAAAACCACACATCAGTGTCTCCACACCCAAAGAGTTAGACAGTCGGTGTGGGTTAGTCTGAGAACCTGCATTTCTAGTAAGGATGCACATTAATGCTGCAGGGGCCAGACTCACACTTTAAGAATGAATCACAGACTAACATGGTCCGATTCCACCTTTGTCTTTTTAGAGTAACATGAATCAAGGAACAGTCATAGAACTCATGTCCTGAGCAGTATCTACATGGTCTGATTACAACACAGAATGAATGTTTACATCATTATGATAAAAGACACAATGCCATGAATCCCTCCTCAAAATACTCCACGTTCCTTTGGACACACTCATCTATTGTTCTTGTCACCTTCGGAAGCTGTTCTGCAAGTTTTTTTCCTGAGTATCTAAATTGTGGTGTCATGGCTGCCTTCCTGTTTTGAATCAATTCAAGACATTCACCTTTCCTGGTCATTTTGACTTTGGGAAAGAGCCAGAAGTTACATGGTGTCAGCTCTGGAAAATAAGGTAGACGAAGACACACAGTAATGTTCTTGCAAGCTTATCTTTCCACTTTACGGCACTGGGCAGTCATATTCACCATACTTTTGACCATGCCTCATAAAGACGCTCAGGAAAGAGGACCTCCAGAACTGCTTCAGAAAGTGGTAAGAATGATAGGATAAGTGTGTTCAAAGTGAGGGGAAATATTTTGAAAAGGATTAAAGTCAAAGTTCTCTTGTATGGTAATACTTTAAAAAATTGAACATTTACCTTATCTTTTGCCCAAGTCTCATAGGGAATCTCTTCTGCTCTGGAAACACAGAGACACCTTGAGGAAGCCAATCCTGGAGATCAGATTTAAGAAACAGCCACCACTCGGTTGTCGCAAGGGTTATAAACGCAACAGACATATACGCTATTATTCGAACTTCCTGGTTGTTTTGACCATTTCATAGTGGGTTTTGTTTTCTAGAGTAAAACACATGAAAGGAGATGGTGGTTTCCTCACTCAGCTCTGGTGCATTTTCTGCCATCTTGCCACCTTGGGAGCCGTTTGGGCACGCTGGCTTGTGTTATCACAGCAGTACAACGCCTTGTCAATTAAATCTGAAGAAACTCAGTCATTAGGCGAGCTGGAGTGTATAATAAACAACTGGTGCTGTTGATTGCCTTGGCTGAATTGATTAAGTGGCTCAGAGACACAGTGGAAACTCTTCAGCTTGTATGACAGCTTTACATTTTTGCTTTCCAGTAATTACAGTGTCTATTGAGCCAGCCCTTCCAAAAGAATGCTGTGAAATGTTCTGAATTGTCGCCTCATTTACAATGTATCATTATCTTTATTATATTTACCTGAAATAAAGAATTACCAAAACAACAGGCAAGTGCATCGGTCTAGATGGGTGGCCTATTCACTGCCAAAGTTCAGCTGGAGAAGTTAAATACCCACGCTGTAATTATTTCTATATCTTTGAGGCAATTAAAAATGATGCACATTATCAGCCCACAAATGTGACTGTGCTTCACTCCAATTTGCTTGGGGCATTGCCTCTTAGTACAGCTGCTTATAGCAATAAACTACAAAAAAAAAAAAAAAAAATGGCAAGGTCCCTCACGGTATTTCAAAGACTTCCGGAGCCAGCCATCTATCCATCTCTAACGTGGTTACTATCATGACTGCAAACGCTGAATTTGTGCCCCTCAGATGCCCCAATATGATGCACATAATTGGCCGTGGGCCTAGAGGCTGCGTCTTGGATCCCACTGCCACCTGGACTACAACTGTGGCTGCAGTTGCCGTGTGGCACCCAGGTAATGGCCAAGCACGATGAAGCGCTCCTGAGAAGCTCAAGCATCCTGGCTGTGGCTTGATGTTGGTGTCCTCTAATCACAAGATGACATATTGGGCAGGGGGCCTCTGGGAGCTGACTAGCTAATGAGCGCTCCTCCCTTGTGAAAGGACTAGGGACCTATGCAAAGGACAGCAGGAGTGCATTCTCTCTCCCACCAGATGAGATGTGGCAATGGGCCCAACCTGACACCCAGTGCTGGTCCATTTAGCTGGACTTCACAACACCTAGACCCTAAGGAAATAAATTTTTGATTCATAGAAATCGCCCAGCCTGAAATATGCTGTTCTTAGCAGCACAAATGGCCCAAGAGTCTGTTGGTGATACACTGGCTTAAGGACAAAGTGTGACCCCTATGGTAGCCCAATTCCTGGCTTCCATATGGGTCACACTATGTTTTAGTCTGAAGACGCTGCCTGCTCCTGTTCTTTCTCCTTTTCTCTTTACCAGCATTGCCCACATGAATCTCTTGTGCATCTAATCTTAGCACTTACTTCTCAGGAGACTGAAACCAGCACAGGGAGTAAACTTCACACAAAACAAAATCAAAATAACCTATAGTTCATGAATGAATTTTAATAGAGGAAATAATGCTATGCCTAAAATTAAGAAAGAAATCTGAAAGTTTAATATCTTTGTATAGAGTCACATGTGAAAGTGTTAAACCACTTGATGATATGTCCCTTATACTTGGTATATCAAAAATCCCAGGTACAGTGGGGCTATAATTAAAAATCTACTCAAAGATTAATGGAGTCATTGCGAACTCTCTTATGTGAACATATAGAATTTTTGATCACTTTTTTTTCTTTAATGTATTATTTGTACAGGGTCTCAATATGCAGATTGGACTCATAGTGATCCTCCTGTTTTCAGCCTCCCCAGCGCTGAGACTAAAGACATGTACCACCACATCCGGTCTTGGGCACCAGGTCAACAAGCCCAAGGATGGGGCTAGCATGGCTGCGGTACTGGGGATCAAACCCTAGTCCCAGGGGTGGGGAGATGGCTCAGTGGAACAAGGACTTCCCTGGCAAGCACAAGGGCCTGAGTTCAATCCCCAGTTCCGCCAAAATAAATAAATAAATAAATAAGAATAAATTATGACATAAAAATTATAAAATCAAGTGTAAGAGCAAATTTATATTAAAAAAAAAACCCAACCCTAGTCCCTGTGTTTGCCTAAGCAGGTGCTTAGTTCACTGTCCTATCTCAACGGCCCTTACTCTTAATAATATATTTTAGCTTATCTCACTTCTTTTTTCTAGTAGAAAATCTTTGTGGCAGCTATGTGAATGCCAATAAAAACTAAAAATAATCATTATTTACTTGCATTACCCAACGTCACACAAAAACTCATTTACCATCTTAGTATGCTTTTGTTTGTTTTTTGTATTTGTATGTGCATTCATAAAAATATATGCATACATACATTACACGTAAAAATATGTTGAGGTTACACTTAGTGTGAATTTTCGTGTCCTCCTTTTTGCTAGAGTATTAAAATTTTTGTAGAGTAGCCCTTTTTTTTTTAACAGGGGAAAGTACAAATGCAGTCTGCTACTACCACAAATTATGAAATCAAGTTTCCCACATTTGGGAAAATCGCAGGGTCCACACATCTGGAGTGAAGTGGATGAGCCTTCCCTCGGAAAACCTTTCATGATTACAGTATCTCTCCTGCCAGGTAAATACTGTGGAGCACTTTCAAGGGCTATGCACTATTCTGTGATTATCTAGCTATTAAATTTAATATTCCTCTATCATTTATATTTATTTATTTAAATTTTTTTTGTATTTTTAGGGAAGGGTGTACAGGGTGTTCAGAGTCTCATTACTAGATCGGACTTGTAGTGATCCACCTGTTTACAGTCTCCCAAGAGCTGGGATTACAGGTGCACACCACCACACCTAGTCTCAATTGCCATCTCAGTGCACCCCGGGGGCAGGGCTGGCACAGCAGGCCCGGGGATCGAATCCCTAGCCCCTGTGCCTGTTTGCAGGCACTTTAATCCACTGAGCTATTTGGCTGACCTTATTTATATTTAGATAATTTATAATTTTCTGGATTCTATAACAGCCCAGAGTGAATATCTTTGTCCACAACACCTTCCTGTTATCTTGAAACTGTTTTCTTTAAATTGGTCCTTCCATGTCCTTCCTGGCTTCCAGATAAGTTTGCATCTTGAGAAGAATCAACAGGCTCACTTCCCACATCCACAGAGCATGTCAGAAGCACTGGGCAGCAGTCAACGGCCCCATTGTCCCCCTACCCGGCCGCCTGCCTTCAGCCAGTCCCTTTATGACTATGTTCATAGCTGCAGAGTCAGGGAGTTGGAGTAGACAGTCCAAGGGTCCAGTCCATGTTTAATAGTCTGATTGGCTCTGTGGTCCTGTCTCTTGCACAATGCCATCAATTTTCTATACGCTCTAGAGCTGTAGAAGCCGAAGGAGCACCATTGGTAATGCATCTGGGATGTTATTACACTTGATGCCCTACAGAACACTGCACTTCGTATCGGAAGATGATCATTTCTGCAGCTCTCCATCCACATGGCTTATTCTCTGTGGCTTTTAAAATTACTTTTGGCTCCTAAATGTTGTAAAGGGTATTGTGGCCATGTGAACCTGCTCACTGAGCCTTCTAATATGAACCCACCCCCCAAAAAATGAACCCAAAGCAAAATATCATTAGTTTGACAGGTATTAAATCTTATATTTAAATTTTTGGTTTTTCTTTCTTTTGTGTTCCCTGTCTTTTCATCTTTTTCAATCTTCACTTTTTAAAAAAAGTGTTAAATATTTCTCCATGCATATCCTTCTGCCAGGAACTGGGTTGCACAGACTCTGTTTTTGATGTCGAGGAATCTCCGACACGAGCACCAAGCCCAGAGGAGAGGGGTGAAGGACAAAGAGGCACCTGGACAGTGGGCCGACGAACAGTGCCTCCCACGCCTCTTGTGGGAGGTCAGGTAAGGTGGACAGTAAGGATGCTGAATTTGGAGAAGTTGAAGCTAGTACCTGCCCTGCTCCTCAGAGAGATGATATGTGGAGGAAATGGGACCCCAGGAGCTTTTCAACTGAAGTGGGAAGACGTAGGGCCTGCCAAAAGGAACATTTCAAGGTCTAGGATCTAAATTCATGAAGAGTTTTTCCCGAAGATACTCATGAGCTGGCATCAGATGTTTATACAGTGGAAGTGAGACAACTCTAGAATGCTCAGGAAGGGCACTAACATGGGGAGGCATTAGTAAATGGGAGTACAAAACACCCAGTGGCTGCTAGTGTGGAGAATCAAGGCTAGCTGATTGGATGTGCTAAGCTGGATGTAGAAGAAAATACAATTACTGCCAGTTGCTGTAAACTTCTAAGTAGGTGTCTCTGTTGCTTTTAATAATAACCATGCTTTATGAAATACAGACGTGCTGGCTATTTGCTATCATATTGGAAGATTCCCCTGGCTTTATCATCAGAGACTCTGGGGAAATATAGGAAAGATATTGTGTCTTCTCTAAATAGATTCAAACATAGAGTGAATTGTAGAATTCTAAGAAGGCTAATATCAATCGGTTGATGCTGGCCTAGGAGATATTTCCTGAATGAGGATATTTTTACAGACTCTGTATTCTGTATTCAGGATAATACATTACCCAGATATCAATTCTGGAAACCTGTAATTACACCACAGAAGAGTTTTTGCTTTAGGCTTCCCTGAAGACAAAAGCCTAGATAAGGACTGGGGTGTAGAAGTTAAGCCAGGAAAAAAACCCAGGGACAGGAGTGAGATTGCTGAGAGTGAGAAAGAACAGGAAACGAGTCAATAGAGGGTGAAGTTTTACTGCTGTGGACATCAGAGGCTCACTTCCCTACTGACCCTTAATTGAATGGAGAATGTGCCTCAGAATATTGCACTGAGTGAAAGGAAGCTGATGGAATTTGTTCACTAACTTTTTATATTTTAGGGAAGGGTCTATAGGGATCTAACTACTAGATTGGACACATAGTGATCTGCCTGTTTACAGCCTCCCAAGTGCTGGGATTACAGGTGCACACCACCATGCCCAGTCTCAATTGCTATCTCAGCACATCCCGGGGGTGGGGGGGCAGCACGGCAGGCCTGGGGATCAAACCCTGGACCCTTGTGCCTGCTTGCAGGCACTTTAATCTGCTGAGCTACTTGGCCAGCCCCATTCACTGACTTCCATTTCTCATTCACTGACATTTGCCCCTGAATCAGGCAGTTTTCCAGAGAAACACAACCAGTAAGAGACAAGGAGACAGAAAGCAGATAGATAGATAGATAGATAGATAGATAGATAGATAGATAGATAGATTTATTATCTATAAAATAATAAATTGGCTCACACCCTTATGGAGGCTAAGCCCCACAGCCTGTAAGCTGTAAACTGTAAGCTGTAACCTGGAGATATAATTCAGTCTGAATTTAAAGATTTATGAAACAGGAGGGCCAGCATCCAGTGGAAGCGGGGGTGGAAGTCCCAGCTCAAAGGCATTGAGAATTCACTCCTCCTCTATCTTTTTGTTCTATCTGTGCTCTCAATGAGTTGGCTGATGCCTGCTTATACTAGTGAGGGAGGATTTTTTAAGTCTACTGGTTGAAATGCTACACTGTTCTTGAAATACCCTCATCCTCACAGATGCAACTAGAAATGACATTTTACAGCTACTTGGCCGTCCTTTAGCCCAGTATAGTACAGGCGTAAAATTAACAATCATAGTCCCCTATGACATGTATCTATGCATACTTCCAGATCTTATTGTGTAAGAACAGACTTTAAAGAAAGTCCTCAGACCAAAGCAGAGAGATGCTCTCACACATGCTTGAGGTAAGACACTGGCCACATGCGGAGACTGTCCACTGGCTAGTTTCAGTGTGCAATGCTGAGGTCCATGCTGGAATCAGATGGACTAAGGGGATGTGGGCCAGAGACAGCCACCAATGACCTCTCAGTGACCCAGTACCTCCCTTTATACTGCATTCTTTTTTTTTTGGCAAAACAAGGGATTGAACTCAGGCCCTTGCGCTTGCCAGGAAAGCGCTTATTCCACTGAGCCATCTCCCCGGCCCCCAATATACTGCATTCTTTATCACCTCTATAAAAGGATTTCTGGGGAATCTTTGAGGAGAAGAAGGCATTTATTAGATTCTCTGGTGTCATGTAACAAACGCATTCCAATATACCCTCTGGCTCTTCTGCCAAGGTAGTTGGGGTATTGCTGCCCCAACTGGTACATGGCATCATGTCCAAACATCAAAGGGCCACTTACTTGGCCACCTACTATGACAGGGAGTTGAATCCTGAGTCATGGCAGGATGATCATCGGTCAATAAACAACTTTGCATTTTCCCTAAACAACTTTCTGTTCCACCTCCATCGGCCCAGTCTTCAAGATCCACTCCCACGCATGTTCTCAAGTTCCTGCCAGTACATATTAGTAAGATCCCACAGTTCTTTCAGAAGGAAGCTGTCTGCTCCTGCAGCAGGCACTGCCTGGGCTGTGCTCAGAGCTGATCCTAATCATTAATCTGGTCATAATGATAGAGAGTGGGGTAAATCTTGAAAAATGGCAAGCAGAATTCTACATCTGACGTTTTTGTTGTGGTCCGTTGGCAAGAGGCACCACTCTTTTCAAGCAAGTTGGACAGGAACACTTCTTCCAATCCAGAAGGATACAGGACTTCAAAATTCCCAGTCATATTCTCAAAAGAAGGGATCTCATTTGTCAGCCTCTTTCTGCTTTGGTGCAAGGTCTCAGAATTTCCCTCAGGGCACCTGTCTAGGATGAGCAAGCAGCCTCCCCACTACGCAGCACATCTGCCCCTCTTCAGTGAGAGGTGAGACTCTCTTGAAGGCTGCCCTGTACTTTCTGGAATCCACAGCATGCCTGAATTGAAAGATAATCTATAATTCTCTTTCTTTAAGTTTTCTAGAACAGACTACAAAACCAGCTGACTGCATAGTCCTTATACTTATCCTCCTAAGTACAAGACCTGCCAAAAAGCTGGTACTTTCCCTTTTAATTAATCCTCTTCTCCATCATCCACCAGTGAGATTCTTGCTCCCTACAGCTTACTAGAGGTTTTCATCACCCACAAACCACTGGCAGTGGGCCTCGCTGGTATCCAATCTGCTTGAGGGTGCAGTACTGAGGCTTTGCTATTTCTAAGGCCACTTCTATTTTCTATTTTTTGACAGCCTGAGTTCTCTTAAAGTAAAGTCTGAAACAGGACTTAGTATGGTGGAAGTGGATCCTAGGAAGCAGAATGAAAGGACAAGAGTGAATTGGGAGTGGGAAAAAAGCCAGTTAAACCTATATCTTAAGTTGGTAATTGAAGAGGGCAATTGGGACTCAGTCCTCTGGGACTGGAGTATTATGTGGACAATTCCTCAAAATTGTCCTACAAGGATGTGGGAGCCCAGAAATATTGGGGTATTTGCCCATTCACTTTTCCTCTACCAGCTGTGTTTGGCCTTGGGACATTCTTTCTCCACACCGATGACCTATATACACCTTCTGAACCATCTCGGAAGCACTTGGAGATGCAGAAAGACAACAGAGTGTGTGCCTGGGTGGGATGCTGACCATACATATGGAATTTTCCCCATGGCTGCCCTGAAACCAGGGGCTGTGGGTCAGGGCACTCCAACCACCTGCTACAAAAAGTTAGTGGG